TGTTGTTTTTTTATTTGTTTTATTATTATTATTATTATTATTATTATTATTATTATTATTATTATTATTATTAAGTTTTATTATAAGCAACCATGCTTTGATGTACAGTTTCTAATTGACATGCCAGCGGTGCAAATGATTGTTCTGTTATTAATGAATGTTTCGATACAGTAAGTGTGATCCTCATGAGCTACTGCGGTTTGAAGTCATTTATCACACTCCTATGGGTCCTGTCTTGGGTCTTTATGGGATGCTAATTTGATGATTTGCTGTGCCGGTCCCCAGGGCGGACTTATTAAACTATTTAAAACACCGCACATTACTGAAATCACTTTGATCGCTAATAGGTGCTGAAACTCAGATGCGTGACTGCAACTTATGCCACATCTCAGTTCCTTAGCAACGGAGAGAGAAAACAAACAAAACAAACCAAACAGCCCCACACTGACCCATAGTCACACACACACAGACTACCAGATAAAAGAATCAGCGCTTCAAAGTAAACAAGTGGAGCACAACAGTCACTCAGGCTGCTCAGGCTGGAGGATCTACCACTCTACTGTACTCCGCCTATTACTAGGCGGCTACTAGGATGCCTTGGTGGTTGTTAGGGCGTTGCTAGGTGGTTACTAGGGTGCTTTGTGTTTCCTATGCAATTACTAGGGTGCTTTGATGGTTGCTAAGGCATTACAAGCTGGTTACCAGAATGCTTTGGTTGCTAGGGCATTGCTATGGAGTTATTAGGGTGTATGGAGTTATAGTTATTTGTGGTTGCTATGTGGTTACTCGAGTACACTGGTGGTTGTGAAAGCATCACTAGGTAGTTACCAGGGTGGTTACCAGTGCTATGTGGTTGCTAAGTGGTTACTAGAATGTATTGGTGGTTGCTAAGGCATTACTACTGTAGGTGGTTACCAGGATGCTTGGTATTTGACATTCGGTTACTATGGTGCTTTGTGGTTGCTATGCAGTTACTAGAGTGCATTAGTGTTTGCTAAGGTATAAAAAGGTGGTTACCAGGATGGCTTGGTGGTTGCTAGGGCGTTGCTATGTGGTTATTAGGGTGTATTGATGGTTGCTAAGGCATTACTAGGTGTTTACAGGGTGCTTTGATGGTTGCTAGGGTGATGCTATGTGGTTATCAGTGTGTATTGTTGGTTGCCAAGGTGTTACTAGGTGGTTACCAGGATGGCTTGGTGGTTGCTAGGGTGTTGCCATGTGGTTACTACAGTGTATCGGTGGTTGCTAAGGTGTTACTAGGTGGTTACCAGGGTGCTTTTGTGGTTGCTAGGACGTTGCTATGTGATTACCAGGGTGTATTGGTGGTTGCTAAGGCATTGCTAGGTGGTTACCAGGGTCTTTTGGTAGGTTGTGAAAGATTACAGCAGTCGCTCATCTGCTCAGGTCGGGACAGACTGTTCTAAACACGTTACATGATCTCTTACAGTCTGATTATTTCATCCAACATATTTTCATCTTTTTCCCTGCATGGAATCCTCTGGGATGTGAAGGTTAGGGTTAGGGTTAGGGTTAGGGCAAACATCTTGTTTTCCATTACTTTCGGTCTCACATTCTTGAGTTTAGACTATTGTGGCATCAGACACTTGAGTAACTCTGGAGCCAGTAATGAGGTCCAGCATTACAGACATCAATGCGCAAATGTCATAAAAAAAATAAAAAAAAATATATATAATAATAATAATAATAATAATAATAATATTATAT